TATTATTGTTATTATTATTACAGTATTATCATTAGTAATAGTAGTAGTAGTAGTAGTAGTAGTAGTAGTAGTAGTAGTAGTAGTAGTAGTAGACTTTTAAATATACTTGTATAAAGTGCAAATTCCGGCTCAGTAGCAAGCTCTAGGGCTTTACAATCTATATTATTACCCCTGCAGACCTGACAGCATTCTGAAACAATCTCAACTTCCTGGGAAGCATACAGTGCTCGCTGCCATTTTAAAGGCGCTAAAACCCTGGCACACTGACAACAACTTGCGCTGTCTGTGACCGGGCACCCGTTCTCACCTGTGTGATGTGAGGAAAATTCGTGTAAAGTGTCTTTCCCAGCGTCGGACCAGAGAGGGTTTGGTCGGACCTAATGTCGAGACTTGAACCCCCGAACCGGAACCATATGATTAAGAGTCCGGTGGCTAAACCACGAAACTTATTAATACTGTTATTGACAAAAATACCTATAAATGCACAATGCTTAATACACCTTTAAAAATCAAAACAAATTCAAGAACAGCGTGATTTTTATCTTTATCAAAGTTCGAATCATTTATATAACGCAGCAGTGCTATCCAGTTATCTTTCCTTCTGCGATCCTAACTTGGCCCCCATTACTTATTTTTTAAAAGTAAAAATTCGGAATGAAGAAAAAATGAACGAAAACCAACGAAATGTAAACGGCAAAACAAAAACAGTATTTATAACAAAAAGTAATTAAAATAGACGAACACAACATACCCAAAACAAAACAGCACAACAACAACAACGACATCATCTATGCCTTTCACCCCTGGCAGGGTATAGGCCACATACAAGCTCCTTCCATCTATCTCTGCCCTGGGCCATCCTTCCTTGCTCGTTCCAAGTGAGCTTCATCTCTCTCAAGTCCCTTTCCACACATCTCCTACATGTTTCCCGTGACCTACCCCTGTCTCGAGCTCCCGGTTAGTTCCACTGCAGCGATTGTCTTGTCATGTTTCCGCTGGGCTTTCTGGGGGTGTGACCTATCCAACGCCACTTTCTTGGTCCTATTTCTACTTCTATATCCCTTTGTCCTGTCCTTTCCCACAGCTCTTCATTTCGAATTCTATCCTGCAGCCTAATTCTATGGATACTCCTCATACATCTGTTGATGAAATTCTGGACTTTATTCAGCACTGTCTTTGTTGTCTCCCAAGTTTGGCAGCCGAAGAGGAGCACAGACTTGACATTGGAACTAAAGAGTCGAATCTTTGTGCGCAGTGAGATGTTGCTTGCTTTCCAGACGTTTGATAATTGCTTGAATGCCGACCTTGCCTTGGCGGTTCTTGCTTTCACACCTGCCTCAGTTCCACCTTTACCCTCGATGACAAGGTAGGTAAAGGAGTTCACTTCTTCCAGGGGAGTGTCTTCCACTGTCACAGCAGGGCTTAAAACCTTTCCTAGCTTCACTAATTTCGACTTACCCGGGTGTATACGTAGGCCGACACTCTTTGATAGACTGTTGAGTTCCTTTGTCTTTTCTTGCATCTGAGCATGTGTGTGAGAGGGCAGTGCAAGGTCATCAGCGAAGTCCAAGTCGTGCACCTGCTGCTAAGGAATCCACTGTATTCCCTTGCGCTTGCCTCTGGTGGCTTCTTTCATAACCCAGTCAATTGCCAGCAAGCATCCTTGTCGCACTCCTGTCTGTACTTGGAATGGTTCTGAAAGCTGTCCTTCGTGGAAGACTTGGCAGTTTGTTCCGGTTACCTTCACAAGCTTGACGATTTTGTCAGGTATTCCATAATGCCGCATGCGTTTCCACAGAGTTTCCCTGCCCACGCTGTCAAATGCCTTTTCATAATCAACGATGAGTTGACAACGAGTGGTGAATTCCATTCAAGCGATTGCTTAACAATGATGCGCAGAGTAGCGATCTGGTCCACACACGATCGGTTCTTATGGAATCCTGCCTGGTTTCCTCGGAGCTTCTCATCTGTTGCCAGCTTGATTCTCTCTAGGAGTATCTTGCTAAAGATTAAAGACTTTCTCATGTATGGACAGGAGTGTTGTTCCTCTGTTGTTACAATTGCTGAGGTCTCTCTTCTTTGGCAGCTTGATTAGGTGGCTTTCCTTCCAGCCTGATGGCACTTCCTCCTCTAGCCAAGCCTTTTCGAATAGAGCATAGGGAATTTCCACTGGTGTATCTTTATCCGCCTTCAGTATATTGTTGGGACCAGCTGCCGTGTGGGACTTCAGTGATGTTATAGCTGCAGCAATTTCTTCTCTCGAAAGTGTTTCCGTACCTATTGGGAGATCATGTCTGGCTAGGAGAAGTTCTGGTTGGTGACAACAACAACATAAACAAAATCCTGGCTTGGATTGTTGGTGGTGGATTCAAAATAACAATGAGTTACTTCCAACTACTTGTTTTGTCTGCTTTACAGTATCTACATCATTACCCCCCCCCCCCCCCTAAAGAAAAAAAGGTTTTAACTCCCTCCCACCTTGACAAAATTTACGAGTCAATACTGGATTAAGGGCAGGTACTCGTCTGGCCTGTTGCACACTATAAGCTACCATTTGTTATTTCCCTTTCAATAGAGAACAAACATCTTTGTTGATAGAAGAGAATATAATATATAAATGTAAATTTTAATGTATTATGATCGTAGCCAACCAGACAACATCCACCAACGGGGCACCGACATTGGTCAAAGTCAACCAACTTCCCCTGTCTCTCTCTCTCTCTCTCTCTCTCTCTCTCTCTCTCTCTCTCTCTCTCTCTTCTTAGACTAAAAGACAATGGTATTGAGTCCTTTGCAGAGAAGAACAAGGGTTAAGATATTGGCCTACTTTAATATTCATAAGATAGAAGCAGCAAAATAAGATAATGACATCACAAAGACAAGACTAGCTGAATGATCATGTCATTGTTATGTCTAACCCTACCTCTCCTATACCTCTCCTACCTCCTTTATCTCCCCCCCCCACTCTATTTCCCCAACTTCTCTCTATGTAATGGAGTATTAGACCTATTTTTGAGAGAAACTTGAGCGAATCGACGGAGTTGGGATCATTCAGCAAAGGGAAAATAATATGCAGGCAGGGATGCTATTTTTGCATTACAACAGCTATGCGAGAAAACAATCGATCACAAGAAAGAAATCGGCTTTGTCTTCATAGATCAGGAGAGGCTTTTGACAGAGTCAACCAGTCAACCGTGTCAAACAATGGACAACACTTAACCAGAGCATATGGCGTCAGATCTCGGGGACAATTGTTGGACAGTTTTAGTCGAGCTCGAGATCTATACGCCAACAGCAGTAAAAATAAAAGAAGGAAGCACAAACTGGTTCAAAATAACATCAGGATTACGACAAAGATGTGTTCTATCTCCCATCATTTTCATAATCTGTAGACCCAAAACAAAGTCCAAAAATCCTTAGTGAACTTCTGTTGCAGACGATCAATGTACTATTTATCCACACAAACAAATTTAAAGCCCCTAATTAAGCTACGTACGCCACTGAAATAGAAAAACAGCTAGATCTATGAGAAATGTAACGTTAGAATAAGCACATAAAAAGCGTATCGGTAATGAAAGTCAGCTGAAATCAGGGTCTCCTGAATATTCATATATATGAATAACACACAAATGAAAAAGGTCAAGGAACTCCGCAAAACCCTAAACATCCCAAGAACAGACAGGCAGAGAAATGAAGATGCAAGAACAACTGGGGTCCAGCCTGCGTTTTGTTGAAAACAAAGAGCAAAATGGGTTGCTTACCCACCTGTTACGAATGCTATTATAGTCAGCCTCAAGAGCCTCTCTCGCCAGGCTTACTCAGACTACCAAGGAAGAGGTAGGTCACGTAAAAGATGAATTGAGTGAGTCAAGAGATCCTGTCCTCCTCCCCCCCACCCCCAAAAAAAAATTTAAAAAAATTAAACAAAAATTACACGATCTCGTTTGGAAGACTTGCAATGTTGGCTTACCATAGAAAATGTCAACTCTCCTCGATGTTCAACAGCAACAAAGGAGGACCTCGTAAAAATTACTTTAAAGGTTAGTAAAAGATTATGATTTGTGATATATGTTGATCTTGTTATTTTGATAATTCTCATTCTATTTGGGAGCATATATTACAGAATGTGCTTTTCATATTCTTTTATTCAATTAATCTACTATAGTGATGTGGAGAATTTTCGTTAACCTCGTTTACATCTCCTGGATATGTGGGTTTTATTCAGTAGGGTTAGGCTTTTACGCAAAAGCCTGAGCTGGGTTATAATATTCTAGAAAGCCTAAAATAAAGAATAGTTAACTGAACAACAATGCGCACAACACAACTTCCCCCCCCCCGGTGGATTTGGGCAGAGCTTTATAATGTGAAAATGTAAGGGATTTTGTTTTTAGTACAATGGATATGCCCCAGCTAATACAGTCACAGAGTGAAAAGAAAGCTTTCACTTTCAGTATCCACACCTTTACCATTATCTTTACTTACTTTACTTTTACTTTTTTCTTCCGCTTGTACCCTGGGGTGTCGCGGGGAGACACAGGTGTCTGTCTGCTGCAAATCGTGTGGTCTGTAGGAGGGACATCCCATGATCTTTAAGGGTGTCTGCCACAGATTCACTCCATGGTCGCCTTGGTCTTCCTCTGGCTCTCCATCCAGAATATTTAGTGTTGTATGCTCTCAGAGCTGGATGGTTTGAGGGCATCCGCGTGAGGTGTCCGCACCACTTGACCTTTTGTTTTTCAATGTGTGGTAGGACTGGTGTTGCTCCCACGGTGTTCCTTATGACTTCATTTTTAATTTTGTCTCTTCTTGATTTTTTTTACCGCTCTTCTTAAGCATTTCATCTCGCATGTGACCAGTTTCCTCTCTAGGGCTTTTGTTAGAGTCCATGTCTGGCACTGATATGTGAGCGTTGGAAGGAAATTACCAGTTTTATGTACCATAAAACTATGTACCAAACTTTCTCAGCTAAATTGCTTTCAGGGGACGTTTCCGGCCGAGGTACTTTCTCTAAACCTCCATTTAAAAGAGTTAGTGGTAAACAAGGAAGTATAAAATGTTTGGCAAACTTCGTGATAGTTTTTTTGCTTCTGGAAATACTTGTTAATCCCCACTCAAAGTAGCTTGTGTCTTCAACGTCGCTTAGACCAGCACGTAAAAAAGGTAAGAGTAGGACTTATTGCTTTTTATTCTTTAGTTTAGTTGTTGTTCATCGTTTTACTTTTGGGCCGACTTCGTCGTTCGGTCACGACGACCGTCATGACTTGTTTTGTCGAAACACTCGGAAGGTTTGTCTACTCATCAGTCTACTGATTTTTGTTCTTGTTTGTATCCACCTGTTTTCCACGTATTTGACAGGCAGTGATTTCTCACTCTATTTGGGATGATACATATGGACTGCTCAATATTTAGTGAAAGACCCCACTTTGAAAAAAAATGGGTGTAGATCTAGAATCTAGATCTAGAGCCAGCCAGACTCACAAGTGACAAGTTGAGTAGTAGATCTAGAATCTAGATCTAGATCTAGATCTAGATTTCTATCTAGATCTACATCTAGTCTAGATCTAGATCTAGTTACAGTGACAGACAGTTGAGTAGTAGTAGTCTGTACTGTATAGTACTGTAGTTTGTAGATCTAGTTGTGTCTGTACTATAAGTGTAAGTAGGGTCCCACCGTTTACAATCCCGGTTCGCTTGCTTAAAGATCCTGCTGTTTTAAGAAAACAAAATTTTTCTGTACAAGGGTCACCCTTAAGATCGTGCTCTGAATGTTTACTACATGTTTAGACTAATATCCTGAATTTCAGATCATAATTTACGGACAAGAACCCGGGCGGGCACAACCGATTGACCAAGAGTGAAATTTGCAGTCATTGAACTACCCGTTCCGTCACAGATCAACCACTCTGTGAATCTGGCCACACATGCATTGTAAGTCTAGCTTGATGAAATAAGTCAATACTGGATTAAGGCCTATGTTTTCCCACAGGGATCACACTGAACTTGCCGATGCGTTTGTTTTTCCCAAACATCGCACTACCACCTAAATTTACATCAAATACTGGGTGGGTTGCTCCTACAAGTTCGCTCCTGGTGAGATCACACTATGAACACTTCCTTGACCATTGGAGCAGTTGTCTCTACTCCTGAATTTGCAAGACAGAATGAATTTTAATCGGTTGTGGTCATAAAAATAATGTAATGATGTGTAACGCCAAAGACAGGGTAACTCCATCAGAGATGGAAAGCTATTTTAATACATTTTTAACAGTCTATAAAGGGAAGGGGCAACTGGATGTGTAGATTTTGAGATTCACGATAGAATAATAAATGAGAAAGGCATGCCTCATGCCACTGTGATTGATCATCAAGGTAGACCGTATATGTCATAAATTTGACAAATCCACCCAGGGGTTAATCCAGTTCATTATAGAGTGAAGGGAAACTATTTTACTGATCCTGGGCCACTATAGATTTTTTCTTTGGTCCGTCAGCTAAAATCCCACATTTTCCTTACTCCAGAGCACCGGGATCTTAGGCGGAGACTACTGTATAAAACTATGAGTATGACTTATAATGACTATACATGATAATGTATGATGGCAGAGTCTTACTGAACCCTAAGCAGTCGATATTATAATTGACTGAATAACACTCTTTCAGGATGTATTGGTAATATTATATCTGCAAAAAAGTTCGCACCCCTTGTGGATGTATCGCTGAACATTGGCAATAATGGGGTAGCTCAATTTTGTTTCACTTTAACATGATCCGTCATTTGTGAGGACTTATTATTTCTACTAGAAAACTTAGAGAGGATTTAGGAAACGGAAACCTATCTCTAGTATCACTTTGTCAAAGCGTCAGTTTGGCGAATAAATGAGGCAATTGACTAGAATTGCAGTCTTTATTGACGTAACGATGTAACCAGACTCAGCAGAAATATCAAAAGTCAAACAACAATTGGAAGATTGCTTTTAAATAAAAAGTAGTTCATTCAGAAATGTGTGGATTATGCTCATGGCTGTGTCAGATTAGAAATTTTCCTTCGAAATCTATTTTTCTCATATCACTATCACCACTCGTTGCAACCCTTCTTATTCGATGCTTGTGGTCAAAATTAATCATTGTTTTATATCTGAGCGTATTTCTCATTCAGTTTCCTTCAATTTGATATAATATATATATCCCATGTTACCTTTTGAGTGATGGTGATGCTTATAATGAATTTATTTTTTGTACATCACCTGTATAGCCAAATTGACCCGGAAATATTTATCTAGATCCAAAAAAACTATTTCCGGAAAGAGTTAAGCTTCAACAGTTGAATTCTTATTTAGCAAGGTATTTTTTTCTCAGAAATCACTGCCTTAATTTTATAGGCCTAGATTTTGATTTTCTGCTAACCTTATTAATTTCCTTCGAGCAGTGCTCACGACTATTGTCACAATTGCAGGATGATAAGTTTTCCTATTCATCGCAAAGCTCCTGTGCTTCCTATACACTGCAGTCTGCTACAAGACAAAAGAAGAGTGGTTCCCCTTCTTATTTTTTGCCCGGAGTGGGAAACTGAATTGTAGGGGTTATGGTGTTTGCCTCTCATTCAGTAGGTCCTGGGTTCGAATTTCTTCTAAAAAATGTTCTCCTTTCACCTCCTTTCCTGCTCTATAACCATGTTCGTTCTGTTGTCTGCTTTTGTTTCCGTTTTCTGCCACCTCCCCCTTTCCTCTTCCCTTTGCCCCCTCCTCTGAGCTCCTGACTCTTTCTGCCGCCCTTCTCCTGCTACTCCTCGGCTCCTTCTCACTGCTGTCTTTCACCCACACCCCTGATCTTATAGTAGGTAAGATCTAACACCTAGCCCCATCAGATAACGGCGAAAAATCGTAGAGGTCCCGTGTGCAAGTTGCGCTCATTTAAGATCCGTTGGTGGTCCTAAAAGATAACATAAGAGTAATCTTCGGCTGCCACCGGGCAAAATAATATATTTTAAAAAATTCCTACCAACTGAAAAATGTTTAATGTGACTCTATGCAGTTGCGAGCACCGTAAAACATTTACACCCCCCCATAAAAAACAACAAAAAGCAAAACAAAAGAAAAAACAAAAAAACACAACAAACACACACAGGCACACTCACACATATATAT